GACGAATTAAAGGAAATTAAAAGACTTTTTTCTGAGTTTGTAGTGCATTATGAAAGAGAATATTATCAAAGAGAATCCACTCGACTACTGGCAGCTTTGATCTCCTTCCATTATCTTCTTCATATTGCCAAATTCATTCAAAATACTGGACCAGCATGAGCAATCTAGCAATATCTGATGGAAAGGCTTTGTGGAATGTTGTTGCCTCTTGTTTGGTCAAGACAACATCCCTACACAAATCTAACCAATCAAATTACTGTGTGTAATCAATTTTTTCACCTTCAATATTTTTCAGAGATTAATGAACGAGTGTTTGGTAATCCAAAGAAAAATACAAAGGAGTCTGAGAAAAATTAAAATTTTGGAATTGAAGGTGAAGATAAATTACTGTTGGTACTGGGATGAAAACATACACTTAGCAAACCAGAAAAACAGTTGTTTAGATATTACTATATTATGGTGCAAAAAATAGATAAACTTGAGGAGGTATTTTTTCCATTTTTCGCCAGCATTTTATCTAGTTCAAAACTTCATTCGCGAACTAGTCACTACGTGCACTAATACTGGCATGATCCAGTATGGTAATAATTTTAGGAGATTTCATCAGATATTTGGGTTTATGGGAAGCTTCAAACTGCGAATAAAGAAATAATTAATTTACAACTCATCAGCCAGAAAGAAGACATATCTCATGCTAATTATCGAATAGTAGTATGTATATGATATGTTAATTTTCTTTTCAGGCAAATACTAATAATTACTCTATTTTTTTTCAGGCAACACTATTGGTTGATAAAAATACCTGGAACAAAAATGCATCTATTGATTTAGAAAAACAGGAATTTTTGCATATGAATATATAAAGGATAATAATGAATGAACATTGTTAGCTCTGGTGCAATGGGTTACTACACCAGTAGCTTCCAGTTATGGTCCACTTATTTTCTGTGATCTTGGTCATTCTGAAAGTATTAATGTTAATGCTATATTTTCTGTGATCTTGATCATTCTGAAAGTATTAATGTTAATGCTATCATTAGATTTATCAGTTTTTTTTCAATCGTCAAAAATAGAAATTATATAATAGATCAGGAAGATTATGTAATATATACTGATAAATAAAAGTAAAAATCTGTTTCTATTGCCGGAGTAAAAATGGTAAAGATCTGACATACTTCCATTTTTTTTTACTGGATAAAAAACAGAACTATGTCAGATCTTCTAAAAAATGAATTTTTGCTAAAGTAAAACCAGGTTTCTTATATAGATCCATTTTTTATCCAGTAAAAAAAATGGAAGTATGTCAGATCTTTTAAAAACTATTTTTACTCTGGCAATAAAAATAGCATTTTTACTAAAGTAAAATTGGATTTTTTGTATAAATCCATTTTTCATCCAATAAAAAAAAATGAAAGTATGTCGAATCTTTTAAAAATCATTTTTACTCCAGCAATAAAAATGGATTTTTGCTAAAGTAAAACCAAGTTTTTTGCCTGATATGTTCAAAAATTTTTTTTACAGGGTGACCTCGCTCGGTATGCATTTTCAAGAATAAGGTATACATCACTTTCTCGTTTTTGTATTACATTTAGTATTATATCTTTCTTATACACAATCTGTGATCAGCCTAACTTCTTTAATAATAGAGCAACTGATGCGTAATTGATCTTGCATCAGATTGATTTGTATTTAAATATAAATCATCTGATCAATTCCCCTAAAAAATTTTCACCTTATGAAAATGTCCAAAGCAAAAATAAATCTTGCTAACTTGGATTTCAGCTGTACCTACTCATTTGAAGAGTTCGAGTTCATTAATGAACAGCTCAAAACACGCATCTTAGAAGTCAATGGGCAACCAGTCAATTTATTTGATCTTGATGAAAATGGAAAGCTTGTTCTAATGTCACAGGTCACTCACTGCATGGAGGTTACTGTTGGAAAGATTGCCAGACAGCTTGATAACTGGAATGTTCAAACTCGACAGAACAGGGACGTAAAAACAGCACAAGGAGAGTTTAATTTCAGTAATGAAGGTCAAAGAATGATCAAAGCTCCTGATGTCTCCTTCACACCCAAAGTGGTATCTCGTCAATTGACTGAATTACAACGTTGGGCTTTCCAGGGTTGATCATTCACTCACACATTAGTTGTCGAGGTTGAAGATATCGAAAGTGTATCGATATTTGAGGAGTTAGATAGTAAATTTAAGTGCGATTATTTTGCAGTTGGAAATCTGATCAACTCAGTTGGCTAGTTGATCCCAAAAATAGCAGAATCTGTGTATACAAGTAGAATCAACATGATAATGTCTTTCATCATGAGTGCGCATGAAAAGATGTAAGTGGCAATGATATTTTGCCAAGATTCATATTGAAGTTATGAAAGATTAAAGAAGCAATTTCACAGATAAGTCGTTGTTATTGTTTTCATGTAGTATATTTTATCACTTAAGTTTTTTGATCACAGACATCATTCAAATCATCATCATCAGAATGTAAAGACTTGCAAATTGATTGTCCTGAATGTGACGAAACCTTCTCTGATCATTACACTTATTCAGAACATTATGAAGATGAGTATGTTCGTAAATGGCGTAAAACAGAGTAGAGCTTTAGTGTTTGTTTATTGAATTATGTCATGTATTTTAAACAAGTACACTCGGATCGTGCAATATTGATAACTTTCCATTTTTCGATGCACACAACACCACATATAGGTCAGATTGTATTCGTGCACTTGTGCTTCAATATCAATATTTCGAATATATGACGCAGTAGTTTCACATTACTTTATTAATTTTTGCTTGCTTCGCAGTCACAAGGTGGCTATTGTTACAGTGATTCTGAATAGTGGGTTTCACTGAGAAGCATATGATATTGGGAGAGAGGTGATTAAACTTAAGTAAAGAGAATGAATTATAAATATTAGCAAAGATTTCTAAGGCCTGTGCCAATATCTATGGATATTGTGTGTTCAAAGGTCTAAATTACAAAAGTAATTTGAAAAAGAGGTAAAAATATA